TGGGGCGCCCCGCGCGGCCAGCCCCGGGCGCCTGCTCGGGCATCGGCCCCCCGCGCTGCGGCTGCACGGCGCGGTCAGTGCGGTGGAGAGGGAGGTGAGGTCCTTGCACAGGCTCGGAGGTGGGTCACTTGGCAGGCTTGGGATTGGGACAGCCAAGCTATTTGTATCCACCCCAGGTTCACGCATCCAACCCTTGGGTACCAAAGCGCTTGAGATTTGTCAGAGCCGCTGGTGTGTTTCGGATGCCCAGTTCCCTTCCGAATCCTGGAAGCAACTTCAAAAGCCTTTGCCAAGCTGGGCCAGTGTTTCCTGCTCCTCTGGAGTTGCAAAAAGTAGCTCCAGCGTGGGAGAGGCACGTCCCGCTTTCGGCAGCCACTAGCAGCCGTCATCTTCCCCCTTGCCGCCTCCCTTTCAGGCTTGCCAGCGTTCAGAGGAGAGCATGCACAGAGCTGGCACGAAAAGCAAGTTAATAAGCAAATGCAATGGTAAGTCTACAGGCAGTATCACGCTGGCTTAAACATAAAAGTATTCAGTATTTAATTAGCAAGTCTGGCTCAGCCTGGGTCCTCCCGTTGTTCTGTAACGTGCTGGTGCCTAACAGGCTGCTCCCACACACACCCCAAACTGCTTCGGGTGCTGGAAGGCAGGTTTACGGCCTCTGAACCTAAACCGGTTGTATTTCGGTTGGTAGGTGGACCCCGGGGATCTCCGCCATGCCCTCCTCTCTCTTTTCTGTTTAGAAATCCCGAGCCACACTGAGGAGGGGTGGATGCACCCAAGGACCAGGAGGAGGAGATGCAGGCGCTGGAGCGTGGCTCTTGCCCGGCAGGTTGCTGGCAGCCTCGGGCTGGGACTGCCCAGCCGGTTCCCTCTCTGCTTCAGCAACACGCCCAGCCGGGCTGTTCGTGGCAGCCTTGGGGATGTTGGAAGAAATCAGCCAAGCCGGCAGTCCTTGCTGCAACCCGGCCGTGCTTCCCCATACAGCTGGCCCTATGGAGCAGGGGGTGTACGGGGTCATCCCGTCTCCCGCAGCGCTGAGAGCGGGTGCCGGGGAAGCGGTTGAACGGCTGGGCGCGTGGCGGTGCTTTCCGGCCACCCTCGCAGCCTCCGGTATTGCCGTACCGCCTGTCGCAGCTGTTGACGCTCTGGCCATTTCGGTTTTGGCAGGGCCCGGGTGTCGGAGTGAAAGAAGCAGCAGCAGCAAGAACAGTGCCTGGTGCGAGGGCAGGAAAAGGGGCAGAGGAAAGGTTTAAAGCAGTTACACAAGTCGTTGCCCTAAATCTGCCTCGCACCCGCTGCCAGGACAGCAGGACCTGTAGGCAGTAGCGCAAGGACCTTTCCCTTTGTGCCCGAGGGGAGCTGCAGTGATCCTCCCACTGGGCTGATTATTTTACCTTATCCGGAGCTTCACCAGCTCCCGCAGCCCGTGTTCCCCTTGTGCCTTCTCTGCCCTTCCTCCTACCCCCAGTAGTGGTACCCCAGATGCACCAAAGGCATCAGCAAGGCACCCCAGGGAGGCTCAGCAGGACACCGGTGTCCCCGGGCTGGACCAACCTCCCTTTCCCACCAACTACCAGTGGCCCTGAGACACTGGGCATGACCCTCAGCGGAGGAGAGGGAATGAAACGGCATCTCTCTGGGATCTGGACTGGCTGGGGACTGAGGAGCCAGCTCTGCCCGAGGGGAGCTGCGTCCCCCCCGCCGCGTTGTGGGTCTGTACATCCCCCTCCGGCACTGCAAAGCCAGCAGCAGGCAGGGGCTACGTGCACGTCCCCGCGGTGCTCCCGGCTGCGCTGTGCTGGGGCTGGAGCCAGCAGTGACTCAGCAGGTGTCCACTGGGCCGCCATGCCGTGAGCCCACGCTGCGGGGAGCCGGGCCCGGGGGGGTCGGGGACGCTGCCTTGCCAGCCCCAGGCTGAGAGCCAGACCCCACTTCGCATGGGGACTGTAGGGTGGTTGAGGCACCCAAGCAGCAGCCCAAGGTTTTGGGGTGCCACAAGCCATCCAAGCAGGACGGGGAGCTCCCCAGCTGACAGCCGCATCCCACCGGCTCCCTGCAAAGCTGGGCTGTAGGGATTTGGGGATTTGAAATCCCCCCCCTTGCTCTCTTGCACAAGGCCACCGCGCCGGCGAGCGCTGCCCACGGCAGGTCTCCTCCGCTCCCCGTGGCCACAAATGCCACCACGCAGTCCTGCTCAGCAGCGAAGGGTTAAGCGCCAGGCCAGCTATCAGGGAAGCTTTCTTCTCCTCCTTTTCCTTGCCAAGGTTTAAATTTAGTCCCTGCATGAACCCAGACGACTTGGGCATCGGGTTGCTCTGGGGCTGGCAGCGCCAGGGAGCACCTGCTACCGCTGCTTCACTGCAAAAATCCCCCCCAAACCCAGGGCTGAGCCCCCCGAAAGCCAGGGCTGAGCTCTGCCGGCAGCAGTCAGGGCCGACAAGCTGCAGAGACTCTCGTGCCATGCTGGGCGCTCCGGCCGCTTGCTTTGGCCCCCCCCCCCCAAAAACCAAATAGTAGCCATCCATCGTTCGGTTCTTGTGAGTCCCAGAGGTGCTCAGTGCCCGGTTTGATTTCAAGTCTTGTGTTTGCTCCTGGCCGCTTGCGATTCGTTTTGGGGGAGCTGCTGCTTGGGGCAGGGTGTTTTTTGGGGAAGCCCCCAGGATGGGGACATGCCGTCCCTGCAGCGAGGCAGGCAGAGGTGCTGGGAAAGGAGCCATGGCGGGGACGGAGCGGCAGCCTGGGGCCTGGCCGTGCCCTCTGCGCCGGGGATGGGATGTCCCCAGAGGGGTCTGCGGGTCCCCCAGCCCCTGGGCAGCCCAGCTCGCTGTGCTGGGGGGCACAGCCCAGGTACCCCCGTGAGGTGTGGGGACACCAAGGCACCTCTCCTGCGAGTTTGGGGAGCAGCAGCGTGGGGTGAGGGGGCAGGGGATGGTGCTGGCAGCCCCCCGGCAGACCCCTGAGGCCGGGGGCGGCGGTGGCATCCCTGCAATGCGCTTGGCATCGCCTCCCCGGGGCTGGCGCTCACTGACGTCCATGTGATCGAGGGGTTGCTCCATCCCGCCGCTGGGTCCAGCCGCCGTGACGGCGAGGGAGCCAGAAGGTCGAGCCGGCGTCCCCAGCGGAGCGTCCCCGGCAGCAAGGAGGGTCCCGTGGCACTGGCTGGCACCCTCCCTGCCATGATGCCCCGCGGGAAGAGGGACCCCGTCCTGCTCTCCCACGCTGAGCTGCCCAGCACCGACGGCGCGGGTCCCGGCAGTGGGGGGGGCGGCCGACAGTCCGCGTCGGAGGAGGAGGGCCACCTCCCCGGCCTCCCCCGCGACGATCTCACCAAGAGCATGTCGGGCTCCTCCGTCTCCTCCTACCACTCCGCCCTGTGCTCGGAGGGCACGGAGACCTTCAAGGACTGCCTGGAGTTTCTGGACGAGGAGGGGACGCCCCCCCG